GGTTCAGAGGAGGGCCACCCGCTTGGTGAGAGGGCAGCAGGACAGGCCCTACAAGGAGAGACTGAGGGACCTGAACCTGCTCAGCCTCAGCAAGAGGAGGCTGAGGGGGGACCTGGTGGCTACCTACAAGCTCATCAGGGGAGATCAACAGGGGAGATCAACAGCAAATAGGTAGAGCCCTTTTCTCCCCTGCACCACCTGGGGTGACAAGGAACAATGGTCATAAGCTGATGGAGAATAGGTTTAGGTTAGAAATCAGAAGGCAATATTTTACAGTTAGGGCGGCCAAAAACTGGAACCAGCTTCTCAGGGAAGTGGTCCTCACCCCTACCTTGGGCAAATTCAAGAGGAGGTTGGACGATCACCTGTCTGGGGTCTTGTGAACCCAACATTCATTCCTGCCTGTGGCAGGGGGTCAGGCTAGCTGATCTGTTCAGGTCCCTCCTGACCCTAGCTACTATGAAACTATGAATACTTTGGGGTACAGTTGCCCCAAAACCCCTACATCAATCTTTTTGAAACTTGGCAAGGTTTGTGGACTCAGTAAGCGCTACCATCCTTGCAGTTTTCACCCTGCTATGTTGTAATGCCTAGACGTGACATGAGTTTTGCTTTCAAGAATTTGGCATGCTGTTCCTCCCAAACCCCTGCACCGATCATCTTGAAGCTTGGCAGGCTTTATGCTCTCTACAGAGTCTACCACCCCGGAAAATTTCATCAGACACAAAAGTTATAGATATTTTATTGTTTCCCCATTATACCCTATGGCTGGATCTCCGAGGCGGCTCTGAAGCTCTTTGGGAAGCCTAACAAGTCCAGTGCTTCGACCTGGACATGCTGCTTCAGAGGCCGAAGTGTTGGAAGCTTCTCCAGATCCAAAGCAGGGTCCGAAGCCTCGCACAGCCCTATTAATCACCCTCTCAAGTTTTCCCCTGGTATATTGACTCACTTTACCAAGACAGTTCTGGTTCCTACAATATTGAGTGGCTGCATGTGGCAGAGGGGATTGTGGGGTGTCATTATAGAAATGTAAGAATGATATTTCTTGCCCATAGTGTGCTATAGTGTCATGGGAACCTTCAGAGCATGAGGCAAAGAAGAGAAGGTAAATCCTTTTAGTAATCACTTCTTTCCTGCCCTGGCTTGCAACATAGATTCATAGATTCGTAGATTTATAGATGTTAGGGCCAGAAGGGACCTCAAAAGATCATCGAGTCCTACCCACTGCATAGGCAGGAAAGA